ACAGTCTCAACTATCTGGAGCGTTAGCTGTCATACACTAGAATTTGCCTGGAGCATAGTACCTATAGTTTAGTTATTAATTTGATGACCTAGGTCGATGTGGTACTCTAATTTCGATGTTCGTGATCCTCGACTCGACAATAGGGAGTAATCGAGGCGGCTAATCTTTGTAAGACGTGATCCGGCTAGATCGCTATTGCGACTTCTCCGGCCACGACCTTTAACGGCCATTCCATAGCCCAAGAACACCGTAGTGGCATCATATTTGCGATCCCATTTATACTGTAATGGAGGTAATCGCGGTTGTTGGAACTGGGGCCACGGCTCCACCACAAATGCTCGATGAATCCCAGCACGGCGAGTATTCGAGCATAAAGTGCGAGGGCTAACGGCTCGCCGGCCTCTAGCATGGCCACTTTAGGAATTGGTTTTAGTCATTGCTCCAAAATAAAATGGGTAGATATTCTATAAAGGGGTAGGGTACGGGTGCCATGTGGCTATTGAACGAAAAATAAAACAAGAAGTTCGTATTTACTTACCGTACCGAGACTTCATGCGAACCGCCATAGTAAAAACAATCCTCTGGAGAATGGTATCACCCATTTTCCTAACTAATGCAACGTATAGACTGATGACACACTCGGCTGTGTCTTGGTAGATGTTGGCCTCTTCTGTCGGCATGTCGGTGACGTGAAACGCTTCCAATAGCTTTCCTATGTCTTGTGTAATCTCTCGTAATAGTGGATGGTCGGCTTCGGCGTTGCTGCCAGCCGGGGCTAGCGTCCAGACAGCTTCCGGGTCATAACCTGCTTGGCTAAGCCAGTCATCGTATTGTCGATGAAGAATGCAAGCCCCACGGACCAACGCAAATACGTTTGATGGAATACGATACGTCTCTGAAGCTTGAGACCTTCGGTGGGAGATTTGCCAGGATGTGATGCATAGCATGAAAGCAGTTAGAAATAGCGGCTCGGCGAGAAATTTCTCGATGCAGCCTAGTGAGTATCGATGTTTTGCTAGAGTTCGGTCAAGATAATGGTTGACGGCTATGCCCAGCTTGTGGTCCTCGGGCATGAGATCTTGCATGTGAAGGGCTGCCACTGTTAACAACGAGTCAAGTAACAAGTCCGACTCAAAGGCCATCTGAGGGACCTTGTCTAGCCAGAGCTCCTTGCTGGTATAGCCGTACGTGGCTGGCAGCTCCAACGCAGCGAACTGGGTGTAGTGATACATGAGTCGCATCTCTAGTTGCCGCTGCGAGTGGTCGGAGGAAGCGCCCGTCGGCCGTGTTATTATACTCGTGGACAGCGAGGCAGGGTGGACGACGGACGCGTCGGTACGGTTCTGTCTCTGCCTCGACGTTGAGACGGATGGATAGTCGCATCTATCCACGTCGTAATATCTTTTCGCGCAGTTGCCGCATACCGGCCGCGCTTCGTCGCACTACGACCAGGAGCGCTGGGAGTTAGCTTGCCGATCTGATATGATATGATATATACAAGTATGCATGGGGCTGTTTTATTTAATTTGTTATTTGATTTTCGGGCGGCCTTAAGAGTGTCTTCTAACCTTGATTTTGCGCTGCTTGCACGTCCGACAGCCGTGTCGCGATTTACGCAGTCGGACCCTCAGGGAAACCGGTGATTGTTGAGATGTCTCCATGGTTTTGTTTTCTCTCTGCCTCTTTTGCTGTTCACGCAGTCGATACCAACTGATCACGCTGGCGGGCGTGAAGACATGTGCTCGGCAGTGCCTGTGCCTGTGCCTGGGCTTTACATATACGTAGATGAGCTGATCTACTTAGCGGACTTGGGAGTTTCTGGGTCCTAGGCGCCGAGCCAGCTGGGGATATTTAAAGTAACCTCCCTAGACACCTTCCCTAGCGTGGCCAAGATATACCTGCAGATGTTTCACACCGACTTACAGGTACACGGTACACTAATCATCATAAGCAGGGCAGGAGATTCCGGCCGGCACAATCTCCCCCAGCCATGGCGCAGTCGATCGCTCCCACGGACGATTGGACATGGGGAAGTCTGTTCGTTGAGGCAATAAGTAAGCTGGTCGGCAAATCTACTTAAAGGGGTCCAGTCTCGAAGCGTGAGATCTATCTACATGCCTACATCAGATGCGCCTTTACATGGGACATACCTAGGCCTCTTTTCCGGAATAGGCATCCTGTCATTACGTATTGCTGTCTGTGCAGTGGACATGGCTCTGGACATAAGGGCCGGCCCGGGTTAGCCACAGCCGTTGCATTCCGAACCCTGGGGAGGTAGGCAGGCTTATACAGGTCTTCACTCGCTTAACTACACTTTATTTCGACTACTTAGCATGCCCTAGACTAGGAATGGACTTAGGTACACTACTAATTACTTAAGGACCCTGAAGCTGAAGGTTTAGATCCATGGAACGACGGGTAGGTACTGTAGTCTGTAGCCGCTGTTCTGGTGTACGTTCTGCATACACGCACATTAGCTATATATCTTATGATGACGCTACAGTAAACAAAGGACGCTGGTTGCTCTCGCCTAGCCAAGCGACCCCATTTCGAAGTCAAGCGTAAGTTAGCGGGTGCCACCCCGTCTGCGAAGGAGGAACGAAATAAATTACCAAGGCATACGGATGCCCAGCTTCAACAGAGCCAGAATGCTTGTTTCCCCTCCTTTTGCTATATGCCTCTACCCTCGGAATATTATTGCTTTATAAGCTAGACTGTAGACTAGTATCCCTGGTTTTTGGACCGAACCATCCTGTTTGTCTAACAATAGATATCAGCCCTGTCATCCATCGTGAACACTAACGCTGCGACCTGCCGAATAGGGAACGGGTGTGTTTACGGAGCCGCGGAATTCCTATGCGTAGCTGCTTATGTGCAAATGCATAATCCACACATAATCCAGAGCGGGTTACGGTATCCAGAAGCTTCTGTTGAACCTTGAAGTGAGCATTTCGGGTTGTGACACAGCACGGACAGACTCGAGTACGGAATGAGACACACTATTACAATGTATAGATGCCGCACGTGTCATAAACCGACATACCTACTATACGCATAAAGCCTTTTAGTTTTTAGTGCGATGTTATGATACATACCTGGTATTCGGCAATATCTGTTACCTCCGAAGAGAGTTCAATGTGCAGTTTGACTGTTCCTCAGGCTTGAATCAAATCGTGAGAATTTGCGCTGTAGTTAAAACACCTATATCTTCTCTCGCTATTGGGACATCGAATACCTACCTCATCTACCGGAGGCAGTACCTATATCTGCTGTGCCCGCATTAAGCGCCACGCTAGCATTGACCACCAGCGAGACACCGGCGCCCTATTGCAAGATTTTTGTTGGCAGCGATGCCGGAAAACGGTGGTGATAGTTGTCGAATATATAGGGATGAAAATGTCTTATCACGCCTTGGTTCGAGTTTTCTCTTGCCGTTTCTTCGGCCACACTTAACGGGCGCGTTCATGCCCTCTATTCATACACATCTGTATCCTCATTGAACCCCGTCCTCTACCTACAGAAGCCTCTCCGGCATCCTCCGGGTACGTTTCCGGGCAATACATAAGACCCCCGACGGGGACGCAACTGGTCTGCTCTTCGTATAGACCACCTATCGCCTAGCGCGGGGGAGAAAATGGAGTCGAATAGTGAAGCTGTACGTCCAACCAACCACACTCGTAGCTCGGAGAGACAGGCGAATAGCAGCAACTAAGAATATAGCCAGGGGAGCCAGCCAGGCCACGAGCAGCAGCAGCGCCTCTCGATCGTGATTTTCCGGGGTGACCCCATCGATGCACCCCAGTACCGGCACACGGCCTTATTCATCGAGCACTTGGATCAGGAGGGCACGAGAACGCAGCACCGCGTAGTCGAGGTGGTCGGGTCTGCGGGTATTTTTGAGCGCGAGGAGGATGTCACCTCGGACCCTAGGAAAAGTCCTACCTTCGTGGGTAGCGTGGCCGTGGCGACCATCCCGGCCACCGACCCCTTCGACAGTCGCCTGCGCGACGTCATCTGGTCTACGCCCATTAACAATAGCGAAAACAGCTGGAACTGCCAGAACTGGGTGGGCGACGCATTGAGCCTGTGCATCGAGGACAAACTCATCCTGAGCGAAGAGAGCGACCGCGCGATTGACGGCATGGTGGATTTCATCTTGCAGGCGCGGGATATAGCCTAGGCTTGCTTAAGTGGTGGAAGAGAGCGCCGGACGGATCCGCCTCGACAAGTCGGCTATGAAGGTTGTAAGTGGAGAGAGAATTCACCTACTACGTTTACACTGCTGTGGCGCCGGATTGGAGATCTGGTACCTATCTGCTGCTCTTGGGGCCAGATGGAGTCGGCTTATTTAATATTAATACCCTGCTCATCAGAGAAATATACACAATACCGTTCCACGTAGAAAGAGAGTAGGCATGGTGGTGGTATCCATGTTCGATGTGTAATTGTGAACTATACTGCTTGAAAAATTAAGTGAAGCTTAACTGTGGTGCTTAACTGTGTGTGTGGTATGGGTGTGTAGGTATGCTACCTACCTAGCTAGGTACCTAGGTATACGAGGGTTCTTCGACAGCCTGGAAAGTCGCTATGAGGATCACGTACGTTTTCGAAGAAATCCTTTTCTTACGGAACCTATTAAGACCTACATATATAAATATACATATGTGTGTGTGTATTGTGTATTCGAGTTGAATGGACGACGATGAGCCACTCTTGCTTATGAAACAGTGACGACGAAGAACGATGACGTATGGGGGGAAGGGGGGCCCAGACCCCACCCACTAAGCTTTTGAGCTCCCTCCCCCAGTTATTCTAAGTAGGTTCTATGTTTTACTTGATACTGAGCGTCAGGCGTAGGTAGGTAGTAGGTATTAGGTATTCAGTCCTTAAAGGTGTTACAAATAGTGTTTATTAAACTAAGCTACTTATTATAGAATTTTTAATAATTTATAAAAAGAACTATATGCTATAAAAAAAAAAAAAACTGGATAAAAGAAAATTCCCAGAGCCGGGATTCGAACCCGGATCCCTTCATCCCTTGCGGGCATGGTTCTGCGCTGCCGGCTTCCCCATGTGTCAGATCGGAATGCTACCATTACACCACTCTGGGTTATTTGCTTGTTAGGGACTGCACACTTAAACAAATTTATAAATGATAAGCTAGGACATGCGTTACGGGTGGCTGACCGGGTGGCTAACGGAGTGGCTGACCTACGGTTGTTCGAGGTCGTACCAGTTCTAATATCGTACTGGTCTATCGTCTCAACCCGCGCTGATACACATATCGTACCAGTCCGTCGACTAAACCCGTACCGGTCCAGGCCGTACTGGCCCAGATCCACATATTGTACTAGCACAGGGTCCCTTGGTACGAGGCCGTACTAGCACGGCCTCAGACTAGCACAACGCCGACAACTGCACAACGTCAAACCCCGTGCTGTTGCTAGCCGTACTAGTCTAAAAACTCTACCTCTGCCATCCCTTTTCCTGCTAACTAGTGTCTTTTATTTTCTATAGTCTATTTGCGGCCTAGCTTGTGTGCAGAATGTTTTTTGCTCCGAAAAACGTAGTAGAAAGGCTGCTCTCTGCGCTACTCCAGAATCTGGTAACTCGCTATTAGTTTTGCACCTGTCCGTCGTTCGATTAGTGTAACAAGGGCTTGGATAAAAGGCTTAAGATTAAATAGTTCAATAATATACTATAGAAACAAGGGTTCGTAACACTAGGAAATCTACCTGCGATGCCGGATCGCGACGTGGCTTATATATACAAAGGTACGGGATACCTAACCTTCGCCCTTCGTCGGGATGTCTTACTTTAGCGAGGGCTGAATAGCCTCACTGAGACCCTCGTCAAATAATACCGAGGTAGATGCTGTAGCCGCCTAATACTTGTGTTGTGCACGGAACTCTTAGGTAAGATGGGGGGGGGGGGGCACCCTTAGTTGATCTATATACTCCTTTGGGCGTGATATAGCGGTCAACTCTATGCATCGCGGCCTAGGACATGCTGCCTGGCATCTCGCTATTATATAGTGAGGTTTGGGTAGGTACATGATAATTACTTCTTAGAAGCTTGACCAGGTCGCAGAAGAGAGGGCCGCAGTGCCGCGAGTTAGCCCCTCATATCTTCTGCGTGATGCGCGGCTTTGGCCTCGTGATTTGTCAAGAAGGCCCTTCCAAGGAAGGACACTATGCGTCACAAGCATAGAAGATGCTCGAAAAGGTAGGCTGCACAATAGGAGACCTTGGTATGAATCGGGGAGGTACCGGTGTCAACTGTCATGAAATGTTTAGACATCCCAGGTAATCTCACAGAATGGAAGAAAGACCGCTGTCAATAACCTAAGACATTCTTAACCACGAAACCTGCGGCTACACCAGCCGTAACCCCTAAAGCTTGGTTGCTAGGTCCATGTCTGTGACCGTAAGGCAGATTCCTAGATAACAAATAGCAAAAAAACATAAACTGGTTGAATGGTACGTAGTATTATCCACTGTTGTAATAGTAGTTCAAGAATATTTAAAGGGATGCCTCCGCCCCTTTTGTCGGTGTAATATAAACTTATAAATTTCACATGAGCCCTCAGCTTTACTGAGTCCAAGACACACGAGGTGCATCACTCTTGTCCTTTTAAAAGGGTTACTAATAGCTCTTTCTAGCTAAAGTAACGTCTTAACCGTAAGACATTGTTTCTTTGTAAACATCGTTGAAATTCTTTAAACTTACCCAAGAAACCACTGTCAATAATTAGATAATCGACGATACATTAATCGTTTACAGAGTTTTAACATTTAGACCAGTGTCTTTTAGAACATGCAAGCCGATGATGAAATATTGGCAACCCTCTCAAGTTATACAATTGTCGCCCATTCTGGTACGGTTATACACTTTGTCATCTCACTTTGCCCGGATAGATCGTTAAGAAGATAGTAGTCAAGAGGGCACTTTTAATACGTCCGAGCTCTAATGGCCAATTGAACCTGTTGATTGATAGGCTATCCGAAACACCAGTCTATACGGTCATCTCGCCCAACGCCAATTTAGATGCAATTTGTAACGTTGTTTATCAAGAGAAACGGGAGCAGTCGTCCAACCGAGCATCCCGGTATTAGCATCGTATTTCGACGCCCCCTTTACTTATTGTCAAGTACTTCACGCCTTTGTATGGCTTGATTCCTTCACCTAAACCGCGACTCTTTCTAGGGTCGATGACTATGCTCTCAACTTTGATTCCGCTGGGAACCCACCCCTTGACAGAGAAACTAACCGAAGCAGAGCTAGGCATCAAGATCTTATTCTGCGCCACCTTTTTGGCATCCCGCTCTTCTTCTGATCCTTTGATTTGCTCTCTTGGTTTATGGCGTGCTGTAGAGCCCTGGTATGGTTCATCGTAGGAATAGTCCTTACTAAACCCGAATCCAGTAGAGTCTTCTTCACTACCGTCGTCTGGCAGCGGCCCTACAACTGTACATCGGAGGCCAAAATACGATGTTCCCGCTGAAACTTCCTTAGCTGGTATATGCCACTCTAGGATGTTTTCTCCTGGGCTATAACTAGCATCTCCTCTACTGGGCCGTACATCGGATAAATTCCGGACGTCTGACGGAAGAGGTACCGATACGACCACATCTTGAAGCAGAGGAGATGCTGCGGTTCCTGCATGCGGCCCGCCGAATCCCCTTCCACTAGCACTCCCTCCTCTAGCGGAAGTTCCAGCTATTGATTGACTAGTGGGCCCAAATATTTTGTGTATGTTTAAACGAACTTCAAAATCGGAGCCTATTGAACCAAGACACGTCTTGACTTCAACACTCACTGGTAGTTTGAGATTGTGGCTCATGTTGCTGCCCGCTCCGTTGCTGAAGGGCAATAAGTCAACTTCGTAGCCTGCAAGGATAAACCGGCCATCGGGGGGGATAAAGCTGAGTTCACCCGGGTTTTCCTTCCAGCGATTCAGTCGAACGCAGGGATGGAACACTGGTAACTCCATAATGCTCTGTAGGTTATGCTTGCCGGACGGGCCCGTGAGGCTCACGACTATATCCGGTACACCAGATACCTTAGATGTGAAGGCAATAGTACCATTTGCAAATGCGGCGATAGGTCGACCCGACGGCGCCAGAGTAACCGATAGTGTTTCTACGACGTCTGCATAGAGCTCATTCGACGTATGACGTACATTTGCTCTTCTCCATGGTAGCGATGGACCGTTTTGGGCGATGAGAGATGTGTTACTCGAACTGGCGAGTGGCTTTGTAGGTAAGTTAATGCTTCCTAAGAGTTTCCCTAAGAAGCCCTCCACTTCTACAACATCCCTCAGGGCATTCGGCTCAGTAGTGCTAATAATACCGGCATCACACATCTCAGTAAGAAGCTGGGCAACGACATCATAGCTTGCTTCGATCTTATGCGCGAGGACTGGGGCTCCAAGGAATTCCTCTAAGGCATCGATCACACGATGGAGGAACTCGAGAACTAGGAGGGGTTCAATGTCGGAAGATGCGGTGGCTAGGTAGAGGAGGTCTGCGTGCTCGAGGCCAAAAACAAGAGTAGGCGGGTTCGTATTCGGGAGGTAGATTAGGTTGGGCCGTGGCGAGGCATGTTCGAGATACAGAGGTAGGAGATGAGCTGCTGTGAGTGGTCGAGAGGTATAGGTATGGGAGAGAATAGCGCGCCTATCTCTACATGGTTAGCCAGGCTGTAGAGGCAGCAAACTAGAAATGTTACAGTATTCACTAACTTGTGCTCATCGTAGATGTGCAGCGCCTCGATTACGCTGTTCATGGTGGACGGCTCGTGAAGTGCATCGTTAAGCTGTGGGACAGGACCAAGACAAGCGAGCAAGTGTATGACATGGATACAGTAGGTGGAGGGGCAGATTGATTACTTAGATATTTACAGCATACATGTACCTAAGATACCAGGCATCATGCGGGTGGATACAAGTACCTAAGGTACCCACTTAAAATACAGTGCCTGTAGATGGAAAATCGTAGCGGGGTTTCTCTTAGTCTACTTAGGACCCTTGCGCCTGGAAATTTTTATTTTCTTAAGCAGTCGATAACAACCTGCTCTAACAGACACGATCCAGTCAACCAAAAAGGATCGTGGCCTGCCTTTTGACTCCTCCTCCCAACCATCCCTAGACGGGAAAGAACATAAATAAAAGATGGCTGGTTCTACGAGCACCAGCTCCTCTATGACCTCAACTTCACATACCCTCACCAATGCACCGTCGCTAAGTTTCCTATCCGCGCTTACCGACCCTACTAAACCTTCCGGCGGCATGGAAATGTTGGCGCTTTTTGAAGCTTTCAAGGCCAGCAATCGTCATGATTTCCTACAGCCATCAGCTTCACTTCCGAACGCCTCTCTTCAGCTTGCCAAGTCTACTTTAGATGCATACGCCAGTCAACTCAGCGATGAACAGCAGCAACGCCAAAAAGAAGCGAACAAGAAGCGAAAGCGGGCCGACCAAAGCCGCAGCCCGATCGAAGTTCTCAAAGTGAGGAAACTGCACATTGACGGCTTCGAGAGCGGCCAGGTCTGGCAACAGGCGAAGCGCATTATCACAAGTACTTTACAGGATGCCGAGCAAATGCTTCGAGAATTAGAAGATCGTCATGAGGTCCGGATAAATGGTATCGAGGAAATAACAGATTCGTCAGAGCTAGATGGAAACGACCCTGATAGTGCTTCCAATTCGAATTATGAGAGCTCAGTCGAAGGAGAGGAAGAGGAGGAAGAGGAAGAAGAAGGATTTGAAGATGAGATCTCGGGTAGTGAGCTCGGAGATGATGTTGATCTTGTAGATGATAGCATCGAGGGGAGCATAAACGATGAGGAGGAGGGAGAAGATGATGAAGATGACGATGACGATGGCCCCGAACCATTGATTGAAGATCCAAACGGATTAAACGACGGCTTCTTCTCAATCGACGAATTCAACAAACAAACTCAAATGTGGGAAGACGCAGACGCTAGGGCAGATCCTAATATCGATCAAGGAAGCGAAGATGAAGAGCTCGATTGGCATGCGGATCCTTACTCGATAAAACAGAAAACAAGCAAGAACATATCAAAGAAATCGAAGAGGCCGAAAAGTAA